GCTATGTGCACGCCGATACGTGACGTAATTTCCGCTCAAACGTGAGGATTGGCGTGAACATCCGGTAGCCGCTGAAACCACACACTGTGCTAGCTAGTCTCGTAAATTATTCTGTTTTAATATTCCTTTTACTTGTGCGCCTCTTTCTACCAACATCTCATCGATTTACATGTCCTAAACATGACATGTAAACAGACTAAATTTCTGTTTCAACAACGTACGGACAGCAGATCTAACCACCACTGCTGAAACAAGGAAGTAATGTATACACAGAGGCTATACAAAAGTAGAATCAACAACATTAGTAACAGTGAAGCTACAAGCAGGATCATGTGGACCTCTCATTTTTGGAGTTCGGCTCAGAGTCCAATAAAAGAAGTGTTAACGGCAGCGCTTTTTTTCTCTTTTCAGCATTGTTGTTTTAGTTAGCTGTCGGCTTTTAGTGACGTATGCTTTAAGGGGGGTGCGCTCGTGACGTTAGCACTTCCTGCTAAAGCGAGACCTTGTGCAGTTTTGCTCGCTGAAATCTTGGACCGCTGTCGATACCAGATCTGCTCAGGTGCCAGATCGGCTCGGGGTCCTGTGCCTGCCGATGACGTCAGACAACAGCAAATCCACTCGGTTTTTACACATACACTTTGGAAAGAGTTTAGCAGTTTTGTCATACATTCTTGTGTCTTACGGTCTAAATTTTTTCTTTTTAACTGTAATTTGGCAATAAAGCACCATATTGTCTTTGTTATTTAAAGAATGTTGAACTACATCAGGGGTGTCAAACTCAAACTCACAAGGGGCCGAAATGAAACTCTGGGACGGAGTCGAGGGCCAAACTTAATATTTTTGAAAAAGTGACGGCAAATTTGCACGTTTTCTTTATCAACATATATGCAATTTTGAACCTTTAAATTTGGAAACAAACATATTTCTGCATTAACACTGAATGTGGAATAACCAAATAACACACGAGCAAGTCAGTTACAAATAAAACACATCAGTGGTATTCATTACTTGTGGTATATTCAGCATTTTTAAAATCTATTCAGGATTTATGTTTTCTTGTTTATTCATTTTTCTTATTTTTTATTCTCCTTTTTTTCTCCTGTAATAAGTGTCATCACTGCTGTGATGTCTAGCTTTCCCCACTGAGGAACAATAAAGGGATTTTCTATTCTATTCATCTATCTGCAGCCTTTCCACTTCCTGTTTACTGTAGGTTAAATCTTTTCCCACGGGCCAACAACAAAATAAAAAAAATCATTTTATCTTAAATGAAAATGCAACATCTCACCTGTTAACTTTCATGTTTTGGAGCATAAAAAGAGCATAAAACCAACATATTTAAAGCTCAGTTTGCTCCACTGGTTTACTGTGATGCTCACCTGTTCCAGCCAGATACCTGCGTCATGGGGTTGATCTGAGCTGAGGAGGAGACTCCTGTTGTTTTGTTCATCTTCATCATAATAATGACAACATTAGATGACAACAGCTGCTCACATAGGTTTGTGCTGATGATGTCTGAGCAGCTTGACCACGTTGTTGTGTGTCGGGGAGGAAACACGACAGCAGCCACAGAGTCGTGCTGGTTTGAGCGTGTCGCTGCTCGCTGGAGTTATATCAGCTCTGTCTGGTCGTTAGTTAGAAAACTTTCTCTTTAAGTCGTGAACACATTACTGAGCGGCTAGAATCTAAGTTTCTGGGCTTCAACGTCAGAAAACAGCTGAGTGAACTCGGCGCTGAGTGAGAGGAGTGGTTTGTCCGAGACAGCGGAGCTGCAGACACCCAACTACCTCTGACTGCCTCGCGCTTGAAAAAACACAAAGGAGGGGGCGCGTCTGCTCCGCGCTGGTGCCGCAAAGCATCATGGGAGTTGTAGTCTTTGTGATAAAATCGGCCAGCTGGCCAGTTTTAATATATTTTTGATATTTATCTCGCGGGCCACATAAAAATGCTCCGCGGGCCGCATCTGGCCCGCGGGCCTTGACTCTGACATATGTGAACTACATAAAACCAACGACATTTTTCAAATGAATTTACATAATTAGCTGCCATGTCCATTTGTATAAATTTGGGATTCCTCTGTATAATTTGTAAGTTCTTATGTAAATAAATCCATTCATTCATTAAAAATGAATGATTCATTCATTTGTTCAACAAAGTTAGTTTTTTTTTTTTGCCCCATTTCATCAAAATCAGTTTCCTCTGGCAATATAAACATATTTGTTTTTGGGCAACAGGACTTCAACTGCAAATTTGTTCGGACCAATCAAAACTTTCAGTGTCAATGTACTAACATAACTTTTACGAACATGGTATCGTACTATACTAAGTCCTGCCTTCAGCCAATCATGTATTGTGATGTCATCGGCAGGCACAGGCCTCCGAGCCGATGTGGCACCCGAGCAGATCTGGCACCGACACCGTACAGTGTGCCACCTTTCTGGAGTTGTCCCAGTGTGACATGAGTAATTCTGTGCGACAGCTGAAAAACTCACAGTGCGGTCCGGGCTTTAGGCCCCCTCACACAAGATTAAGACCAAGCTCTGTCCCCCCGTGCACCAAATGTGGAAACATTTAGTGTGATTTGAGTTTTTTCATGTAGCAGTTATCAAATAAGCTGTCAATTATTTTGGTTCTTGAGACTTTCTCTGTGCTCTTGCTATATCCTAAACCGTAGACCTCACCCTGGCACGATCCCCCTCGGACCACTTCAGCTATGAGTTCTTTGCAGCAAGGGTCATTTCTTTGGCATAAGGCCAGCATAGGCAACCACCAATCTTCTTGTGACTGCCTCATGTCAACGGTCTGCTTCCACAATGATTCCTTGATATGCCACTACTACAACAATAACTATGACCTTTACAGCAGTTTTGTGCATGAACGCTATTGTAGACCCACTGCATGTAATGTGGAACCCTTTGCTTTCCTAAAAAGCACCTGAATACTTTCCCAAGACTCTTTCTAGGCAAGCTACATTTTCATAGGAAGGTCTTCTTCCAGTGTGAAGGCTTAGGTTCCAGTCAATTAAATTAGTCTTCCTGCAGTCTAGACTGGTCATTTCCTGAAAGCAGATGGGATAGAAGTAATAAAGGAGACAGAACTGTCAAAAATACTAGAATAAAAGAAATATATTTAATAAAAACTGATGTTTTGGTGCCCATTCATGCACGAAGAGCAAGAACCAGAGTGTTTAAGGAAGAGGGTACAAAGCACGAGTCACGAGCAAGCCCATTCTTATGGTCATGCAGCTTGTTTGGTGGTTTGTTTTTGACATCGCTCCAGGATGTGACTACACCTGGCTAGGAAAGTGTGAGACTCTCTCACCCCATGAAACCACATAATGTTAATGCCACACTTTGGTTATTATGAGCAAGAACCTGTCCCTCCTAACTGTGCCAGGTCTTCTCCGTCCTTCTGTTTCCGTTATATGAAATCAGCTGATTCTCTCAAAATGTCAATCAACTAGAGGCAGATTTGCTTCGCTAATCAATGTTTTTTTTTTTTTTTTTTGCCCTTTCAGTACCATTGCTGAGTACTGGACCTTAAGTAGACAATCATTAATCAGAAAACACAATGGCTTAGGTAGGAGATCTCCCAAGTCTGCACTTCCAACCAGAGAGCCCGTTCTACAGTAGGTGATGGTGGTGGAGCTTGCTTCCAACTCTGTAATTACCCAGAAAACCCTGGGGCAAATCCATGTGGCTGACACGAATGTGTTTCCTCTTCTTTTCCCCTCTGCCTTCTCACAGCACCATGTGTCTGCAGCATGGGAGGTCTCAACGCCGTGGCCTCGGCGTCTCCACACACGTGATGACACTCGCCCGTCTCTGTCTGCAATGAACCCCCTCTTCCTTATATCTTCACCGGCGTATATTTGTCAAGTCTTGGCATTTGTCTTTAATCATTGTCTTCTTATCATCTCCAAATGAAAACAGCTGAGGTTTCTAATTTCCACTCCCTGTGGTGTGTGTTTCTGTGCCCCTTTCAGCCTCTGTTCTCTGGAACCCCGAGCAGTTCACACAGATGAAATCAATATTTGCTCAGCAATTTTCTTTTCCTAAGGTCAAATGGTATCGCATGATTGTCTTGTGTAATGCTCTTGCTTTTGTATGCCTGCCAGAAACTCCCTTTACAGACAAAAGTGGCTCTTGGAAAATAAAAAAGGAGTTCTTGGTTAGTAGTCTATAAAGGTAGAGTTTACACACTTGTGACTGTGAGGCAGGATGTGTTGCTTTTTCTGTCACTATTTACTCCTTTTATTACTAAAACAAACTAATATGTGAGCAGGAAGTTGGACCTAGGAGCTTAAGGAGAACTCAGAGGGGTTATCTTTGAGCTATTTATCTATCCCAGAGTTCCTCTAGTGCAGGGACTGGAAACTATCAAGCAGCGACTCCCTGGCAGCCTGTTTGCTTCATAGGGGTGTGTGAAAAGTGGAGGAGGGGTGTTTGGGACTAGAGAGGGGGTAGTCTGAATGGGAAGACAGGCCTGCAGCTCTGCTCTACACACACTATTGAGGTTCCCATCAGGCTTTGCATCCCCTCCTCTCTTAAAAAGTTTCATGGTCTTGGGTTTGGTGCCAGATCTCTCACAAATGTGCCAGACTTTTACAGCGTTTGAGACATCCTGATAAGTTTGCCAGTAAAGCGGCCCAAAGCTTTAATCTTGACAGTAGGAATAGCCAGAATGGTATTGGAGGGACATTGCTCAGGCCTGCAGACAAAAAAACGCATCAACAAACTGTCGAATGAGACGTTATGGATGTAGTGAATATAAAACACTATTTACTTTAAGCAGACAGTTGTTTGAACATCTTTGAACTGCACATGTTGAATTACTTAGCTTGTCTGGAATAGAGTTGCATTAAGCAGAGCTGTGGACAGAATATCAGCTGCACGTTTAAACAAGGAGTTGCTGTAACCTCAGCCTTTGCACCAGCTCAGCCTCCTCCAGGACTTGTCTGTTTGTTCAGACGCTCATTTCTCCTCTCTGACCTCTTACAGGAAGTCAAGATATTCCGGGCGCTGATCCTTGGCGAGCTGGAGCGAGGGCAGAACCAGTACCAGGCGCTGTGCTTCATCTTGCGCCTCAGCCGCAATGAGATCATCCCCAGCGAGTCCATGGCTCGTCTCAGACAGGTGGGACTCGGCAAATGTTGTGTTCTAGTGTTAATTCAATTCAGTTTATTTATATAGCGCCAAATCACGACGAGTTGTCTCAAGGCACTTCACATAGTAAACATTCCAGTACAGTTCAGTTCATTAAGCCAATCAGTAAAAAGTTTCCTATAAAAGGAACCCAGCAGGTTGCATCGAGTCGCTGACTGGTGTCGGAGTGTTTACAGCAATCCTCATACTAAGTAAGCATGTAGCGACAGTGGAGAGGAAAACTCCCCTTTAACAACGTTTAAAGCTCATTTCTCAATTCTAAACCGTATAAAGTCATTGTTGTCTTAATTTTCCTTTTATTTTATTTTGGCGTTTGTTTTTCCTGACGCCGATTGCTTTAAACTACTGGAAATCAAACATTCAAATACATAGAAATTCATCACAGTGTGTTGATGATGGGAGTCATAGTGGTTGGATGAGTTTTTTATGTTTAATTGTCAAATATGATGGCAAGGTAAAAGTATTGGGGCATAGAAGAACAAAATGTAAGGGCGGGGCTCTGATATCATAAATAAATGACCTTTGAACACAAGGAACAAAGAAGTACGATCCAGATTCTTGGGCCAATATGCGCTAAAATGACCCTTTTACAGGTTAATGAAATGTCACTCAGACCCCCACTGCCATCTGTGGTCAGAATGCCACACTTGCAACTTCAGAGTGGCGGGCCACTCCCTGTTAGTTTTAGTGAAGCGGAGCTGACAAGCCTGGAGCTGGAGTCTGCTTCCAGCATGTTTTCTGCATGTTTTAGATCATGAACTAGTTAGTTGGATTTAGTGATGAACTGCTCCTGTAGAAACCAATGAAGGATGAGGAGACATTTCAGCAGTTGGATCAAGGTTTTAAAAAGACGAACGCACAGCTAGGAGATAAGTTTCACTTTAAGTTTTACTGACGGACAATAGGGGGGGCTAAATGCTATCCAAAACTGCATCATATCTCTTTAACATTCTGCTTTTTGCATACTTTAAGTACTTTTGCTCAACATGTGCTTAAAAAAATACTAATCTGAAATTGCATTTATATCCTTTTGCAGTAGCTGGATTAGAATTATTGATATTGAGATTGGCTTAATGTGTTGAAGACCACAAGAACAAATGAATGCCCTTATAGTTTTTATTAATATGACATCAAGTGCATACTGTGATTTCATTTTTCACAATGTGCACCTGCTGGCTTTCATCAGATATTTTAGCTCAAAGAATCTGATCATTTGCTTCATGTTTGCAGAAAAACCCTCAGGCTATTCGCCTGGCAGAGGAGCGGAGAGGACTGGAGCAGCTGACCATGACGACGGTAGCCAATCTCAGCCGGGCCTGGCAGCTCAGTTCCCACATCCGCAACATGTGCAGTGAAGCTCAAGAGGCCATTTACACCAGGGATGCAGATGTCAAATACTGGCTGGAGAAAGGTAATCTGATCTAAGTTTATCCATCAAACACACAAGAATGGCTTTGGCTCTCTTTTATCTGCTGTCCTGCTTCTGCAGCTCATCTCTGCACATCTAAAGTAACACACTTTGACTTTGAAATTCTATATTCTCAGCTTTTTTTTTTTTTTTGCGGTATACCTTTTGAATATTACAGTCTCTAGCAGATGATGCTCTATAATTCTGTCTGTCCTTCAGGACGTTCACTAATTTACCCATTTGCTTGTGAGAAGCTGTTTGCAACGGGATTAATAAAGCTCAGTGATCTAGTCTGAGGAGAATCTGTGTGGCAGATCCATTGTTCACTGACAGCTGTGCTGTAAAGAAAACAATGTGGACGGTCACAGTTCACCGGGTTCCATCACCCACAAGAGCAGCATCCTTTTAACATAACAAAGCTGCACCTTCTCTCTCTTTGTTTGCCCTCTTGAGTCGTTATTTAACTAAAATCAGATTCACACAGTTGCTTGATGGTGTGTTGTTGTGTTAAACGCCACCAGTTCAGATGGTAATCCATATTTTTTGTGTTGTAGGAGTGGATGGCTCTATATTTGAAGCGCTGCCTCAAACAACAGAGGTGTCCAGTTTTCAGGCGTGCCATGCTACTAAAGATTTGTGGCAACCGTGTCTCTGCATGTACAGCGTGCGTCTGGAGTGGTACCCCTGTCTTCTGAAGTACTGCCGCAGCCGGGACGCCACAGGAAAAGGATCCACCTACAAATGTGGCATAAAGAGCTGCAGCAAGGGCTACAATTTTACATACTATGTTCCACAGAAACAACTTTGTCTTTGGGATGAGGAGACCTAGCGTGTTTTCCTGGGGAGTTAAGAAAAGCTGCTTTTTTCTCTCTCTCTCATCCAAGCCAGTACCTCTCCTGCAGTGCTGTTAAAAGTAAACCTGCTAATACTGGAGCTTGATGTATGATGAAATGCAAACTTTGCTCATACTAAACCAGATCCAGCTTCCACGTGACACCAAAACAAAGGATGAATGGATGCAGTGCAACAGCATCTCTACAGCTGTTCTGGGAGAAACAAGAGAACAAATTACAGCTGGCGTTGATGTCGTTTTGCCAAAAAATCTACCACAAACGTGCCTTTTTTTTTTCTTGGGAGGATTTACTGGAAATAGACAATAACCTCTGAAACAAGCTACAGATGGGAAAAAGGTGGATTTCTGGGTGAATAAACACCAGCAAAGGAACAACCTCACTTTCTCTAGGGAGTCAGACAAATAAATTCTTCCTGCCTGGTGAAGGACGTTGAAGATAGTTTTAAAACTCTGTGAAAAACTGAACATCGCCAGCTAAGCATCTGTTTAGAGCAAAGTAAACAGCCTTATTTATTATGTGTAGGAGTATTTTTGCATGTTTCTGTCACAGTAACCTCATCATTTGTTTGTGTTAAACAAGCTGTTAAATCTACCTGTCTAAACCACAAGTCCTCAGTTTGGAGAAGTATTCTGATTCTTTAGATTTGTTTTCTACCCACATGTGTCAATGTGTTGCCATGGCCGCACAGCCAGAGTTGATTACCAGGTTTAGCGTTGTACCTAACGTGACCGCTTTAGCTGTAGGGAGCATCTCCAGTATGCAAGTCACATTCTAAAACTGGCAAAAAGAAACAAACAAACAAACAAACAAACAAAAAAACAGTTCTTAGGTTGAATGTCGCTTGAAGCATTTCTAGTTAAATGATTAATACTGCCCTCTTCTGGTGGCTCCAAGTATATGTTTTTATTTTCTTTTGCGTCCCAGTTTATTCATGTCAACTCTTCAAGTAATTTATGTAATTAAAAATTCTGATCTTGAGCAATATATGTGTAAATTCAAGGATAAATCCTTGAATTTGTGGGACCAGAATGATTTTTGTGTTTTGTTTTGATACGGTGACGATTTGAAGTTTTTTTTTCAGATTGCCTTACCTTCTGCTTGGCCTTAACTGCATCATAAACATTAATTTTTTTTCTTTGTCTGTTTAATGTCCTAATAACTTAAGAACCAAACGAGTGAAATATTCTGATCCGTGGCCTGTTGTGACGATCAAGTGCCTTAACATTTCCACTGATATTTTTATGATATAATTGTAGATTGCATTGTTAAACCTGTTTTTCTATGAAGAGTTTTGAATTTTTAAAAAGTTGCCATATTAAGAAAATGGGGCAGTTTGATAATGTAACTTTTAGAGCTGTTATTGTCTATTTCAATAAAGTCTTTTTTGCACTGCAGATGTGGCTTCTTGTTTTGTTTTAAGACAGTTTCCACAAACAACAAAACAAAATAAATCGAAGAATGCAAAGATCTTTTATTAATAATTTTAATGAGCTGATTGAAAAAAACGTTTACTTGGAAAATTGGTGTTTATTGATCCCTGCATGCGCTTCTATTTGGTCTCCACTAGAGAAGTTGTAACTACCAGTATTGACCACAAGATGTCGCTGTTCAAACAAAATACACAAAATCGTGTAAAGAGCCACAAATAAGAATACATGTTTTTTTTTATTCTGACAGGTATTAATTGTACGAATCATATTTAGATAAGGTTTAGTATTGGATAAGACAAAATTAACAGCGTTTTTTCCCTTACAAGTTACTTGGACCTTTTGTGTGATCTAGGAGCGCCTGAGAGTCGAAGGATGCTGATGAAAGGTGCTGCTGAAACAATAGCAGCTAATGTGCCACCTTATCCTTTGACCTGGAAAGAACAGCGAGTTGCGGGAATGTAAACCTGGAGGGGACCTGATGGTTGCTATCAAGGTAACCAGATGTTTTTGCTTTTATAAACCAAAAAATGTCCAACTATAACTGGTAACCAGCATGCTACTGGCTAGCTAGCTACTAGAACCAGTTTGGTTGTTAGCATGTAGCAGCATCCTTATGGGTGATAGGTGGGAGAGCTCCAGGTGTCTTTTTCTCTACCAACATCAACAACCATGGACTGAACTTTCCAATAAAAACTTATAGAGATTATTATTGTTAAGATATAAGTGTATGTACTATAAATCCCAGTCAGAAGTGTTAAAGTTGTTGACTACACTGCTAATATCTGATCCAAACAACCACAGTGTTCCTAAAAAAAAATAAAGTAGTAGTGGTAGTTTAAACATGTGCGAACGTTTTTGCACGAGCTGCTGTGTTTTTATATCCCTCCTTTAAATTGAGTAAATTGTAGCTTTTCTTGAGAAATAAATTGAGTATGTTATTGTTTTTCATAAGTAAGTTGACTTAACGTGCAATTTGATTATGTCATGCTATGTTTGATGACATCTGGGAATGATTGAAAACATAATTAATAGCTGCGGTCATATTTTTGTTAGTTGTTTTCTCTGGAACTGTTTAGGAAATGAAACAAGACAATAACCAATCATTTAAAATGATTCATGTTGTTTTCAATGAGCACGTGTTGTTTGAGAGCCTGTCTTCCTCATAGGGACCTGTCTGAAGCCCAGCACCCAGTGACTTCTTAACCAGTTTCAAAACTCACTTGAAGTCTTTGAGAGTCAAGCGTCCATCTTCTTGTTCTTGTGCCTGTCTGGATGGTCTCACCTCCTAGCACAAACGTCACGGCAGAAGAAGAGACATCCCCCTCACCCCACCAGACACTCAGCCAGCCAACTATTGTACTATTATAGTTCAAGCAAAGGCTAATTGTTAGTCTTTTACAAAGGGTGCACAGTCCAATTTTTGGATGGTATTTCTGCCTCTTTCTTTCTACTGTAAGTGATATCACAGCACAAGACGTGCCTCCTTGCAGTTTCTCTCATCCTGTAACATGATTCAAAGCTGGCTCAGAAGTTTTTTCAGCTGCTTTACTTTTAGTTATTATTGAAGATTTGTTTGCTTTGTCGTCAGAGGAGAAGATGGCGCTGCTTGTTGTTTGTGCACTTCTGTGCCTGTTCTGCTGGGCGTCTTTCTACTTCTTCTTGTGCAACGTGAATGGCTCCAGGAGCTACGAATGGAACTGCCGGCTGGTCACCTTGGTGCACGGCATACTGGCCATTTGCATCACGGCATACATCGGGTATGTGGACGGACCCTGGCCCTTCACGCATCCGGGTAAGACATCTTGTGCTTTGGAATGATCAGCGTGTAACTTTTAAATTTATATAATAAAACTGAATATTTAAGAGGTAAAATTATACAAAGAAAAGCCTAATCCTATTTTAGTTTTTAATTAAATATCTTTTGTTTGCCTTTGATGGGTAAACTTGGCTTAGTTTAGCATGACGTGAAAGCATTTTTAACCACTTTCCTCCTTTAAAAGTGGGTGGGTAGATCATTGTTCAAAATTCAGTGGAATTTTCTTTCTAAATGTTTGCCAAACTGCTTTTTTGTGTGTGGTTTTGACTTGTTTGTGCACAAATATATATTGAAATAAGGCATTTGTTTTCTGCTTCTGGATCCCAGGAACTAAGAACACTCCTCTGCAGATCAGTGCCATGGTTGTGAGTCTGGGCTATTTCATCTTTGACATGGCCTGGTGTGTGTACTTCCGCACAGAGGGACCTGTTATGCTGGCCCACCACACCATGAGCATCCTGGGAATCCTGCTCACCCTGTGGCTGGGGGAGTCTGGCATCGAGTCATGCGCGGTGCTCTTTGGCAGCGAGATCACCAACCCCCTCCTGCAGGCACGCTGGTTCCTCAAACAGACAGGACACTACGAGACTCTGCTGGGGGAAGTTGTGGACGTCCTGTTCGTGCTGCTGTTTGTGTTGATGCGGGTCTTCGTGGGAGGAACAATGCTGTACTGTGAGCTGATCTCACCCAGACCGAGATTCTTCATCAAGTGTGGAGGAGTGGCGATGTACGCCTTATCCTGGGTCTTCATGGTGGACATTGTTCGGTTCGCCAGACGGAAGAGTAAGAGCTGGCACAAACAGAGAGTCCTCCGAGAGGCTGCTACAGCTAATGGTCATGAAGGGAAGATGGACTGACTTTAAAAACTACATTTTAGACCTACAAAGAAAATCAAATTCTGTATTTAGGTTTTGATTTTATCATTTTATTTTTACACCATCAAACTGTAATACACACTCCTTTCTTCATCTGAGGTCCTGCCACCTAAACCCATTAGATCGTTGCTCAAAAAAAAGATGAAGTTAAGTGACTTAAAAGACGATCGCTCCAAACCAAAGCACTTTCTGAAGACACACATTGCTTTCAGCTGCTGTAAACTGTGGCCTAGTCATATGTGGTGCTGCTCCAAAAGGGGAGTGTACAGTTAGGAATGAGACGTTCAGGCCTGGGGTGACGGTGGAAAAGTTGTAGTCACAGAAAAACGTTAGGACGTCTTCTTGTAATAGGTCATTTATTTCTTTCTTTGCACAAGAAACTAAGCAGATTCATGTTTACTCAGGGGACTAGAGGAATATCAAACAGTTTTGTTGATTCACACAGTTCAATCTGGATTTTTATTCCACTTTTTGCTCTAAAAGAACATATTAATTTCATTTCCCATGTGCAAATGCATATACCGGTAGTTGCAAAAACAAGCCTTCACATTAATGACAAAACCCGACACTGATTATATGTGAATCATTCACATAAAAAGACCTGTTGGTTTATTAGGCTGCTAGATAAATAGTTCAATGTCAAACAGGTCTTGTCTGCAGCTAAAAAACTAACTGCACTGATCTTTTATCTGAATTTATGTTTTAAAATCCCTAGAGAACATTTTTGATCCCCTTTTCTCCGATCGTCTAACCTTTGAGGCAACAAGCTCCTGAAAGAGTTGGGAGTAAATAAACATCTGTGCTTATGGCTTTGTCCCATACAAAGAAAGTTACGGTTCACCAACTTTTCATTTTTGTGTTCAGACTTAATATGGCAATCTGTTATATTTCTGCATAGGTCCATGAGCGTTGTTTTGTTTACCATTAATACATGTATGTTGATATTTTATGACTGCTCATCAGACTGCCATGTAAAATTCTTGGTGTGCATCCAGAAAAGAACAACTCGTCTGTGCCTTAGCTATCTGAATGTACCTGTGGGTTTGTGTTGTGATGTAAATCCTCCAATGCAAAATGGTGTACTTTGGAGAGAGTATTCTTGGTTCCATATGTCACATTTGTACCCCGTTATTTGAATTAAAATGAAGCAATTTGTGTTTTTGTGTGTTTTAAACAGCACCGTGTCATTTAAAACCAAAACCAAGGCACCAGAAGTGTTACAATCAATATAAGACACTTCGATGGGCTATTGCTGAAGTTACCTAATCCAACCACACGATGGCGGCATAACAATATATGAACGATCAGAGAAAAAAAATATGAAACATCTTCTGTCAATGTTGAGATTACAGACTCGATAGGAGACATTGAATTGGCTCTTGCTGCCTGTAGATCCTTCACTAGAGGGCAGTAGACATGTCTACGACTGCATATGACCGGTTTCTGGTGAAAGTACTAATAATACTCTCATCTGGATGCTTTAAGGTAGAAGTAGTTTGCTGCAGATTGGTAACAATAATCTACATTGTGTTGAATGGCACTTTAAGATATTGTTTGTTGTATTTTTAACCCCAGCTCTTTAAAATGGCATTAAACCACACCATACACTGAACCAAAGTCTTCAATTGTGGTTACATTTCTGGATTTAATAGACAATTTAAGAAAGGTTAACACATGTTGATATCTTCTTATGCATAAAATACTTGACTCTTATTTGTTATTAATCACTTAATTACAAATATAGAAATACATTTGAAGAAAAAAGCAAACAAAAACTAATGCAAGTCTATGTAGCAAAATAAAAAACAATAATTGATTGACTCGGAAAGGATACTGGAAAAATTAAAGAATACTTAAACTTTGATTAAAAAATGGTATAGATCTGACGTGGATTTTTTTCTGAAAATGTTATTAACAAATATCTAAACAACTTCAGTTGAGTGAAATAAAGATTAGTTGTTACCACACCAATAAGCTAACAGTCATAATGAAAACAATAGAAATTGTATTACAGGCATTAAGTGATGGCGGTCAAAACCAACCTTCTGGGGTATTTCTAAGAGCTACTTATGACAACAATAATAGCAACAATACTTTAAATGCTCTTGAGGAAGTAATAGATAAGTACCAAAGTTTTCATGTAATAAATAAAATCTTGGGTAAAAAAAAGCCAGATTTTACCATCTCCTGTGTTTATTTTCTGCCTAGTTCGTGTGTTAAAATACATCGCATCCTTTCCAAACGCGTATTACATCGCTATTACATGTAGTAGCAGCGATGGGAGGGCTGTAGTTAGCATTTAGCCAGTTTTCCATCACCAGTGTCCCCCTTCATCCCCTGGCGGAAGTGGTTAGTGGGAGCGCTGCTGCCTGGACCCCAACTGACTGGTAGCGAGCTAGGGCGTTGCTAGCGGCAGAAAGTGGGATTTTTGGTTCATTTCTACAAGTTATATTCTTCTGGAAACGGCGTCTTCCGTCGGAAAACAACACGTCTTCTGCTCGCTGAAAGTTTGAAGCCCATCTGCTTCTTGGTCGCTGTTTAGAAGAGTGGAGGTTACTTTGTGCGCCGTTAGCCGGACACTTAGCTACCCACCCTTTCCATCCACGGGAATTCTGAAGAGAAACGACTGAATTTGGAAACATGGAGTCATGCAACGTAGCGCCGTGCTAACTCGAATCCACAGGATTTCCCCCCTTATTTTTCTGGCTTCAGAAGACCTTCGTAAGGGACTCGACTCTGAGACTTCTCGCAAGATTCATGAGGTGTTTTGTACGTGTAATTTTCGCTCGTTTGCCGGTTCATTGTTGTGGACGGGAGTTTGCTTAATTTGCACTCGAAATAAGAGTACGCACGCACGCACACACACACAAGCAAAGTTTTTGCTGAAAGAGCTCGTCTGTTTTGTTAGCTGGTGAGATTTAACGCCAGCTTGTTGTGAGAAAGGACTTTCGGAAAACATGCTAATCTAACAGACGTTGTTTAAAGTTTTGTATTAATAAAACATCCAAACACAGCTACAGCTGTTTTGCTAACTTGTAACAGTAATAGTTGGTGCTGAGCGATTCTCATGATCACGGGAGAGTCGTTCCCACAGCCACGGACAGGCATTTCTTGGAGTTGGGAATACCAAATGGGACTTCAGGAATTTCCAACATCTTTAAAGATCATTTAGGCACCGACCGAGGCCACTCGGCTGAGCAGGGGTGGTGGCAGACGGACTGCATCTCTGGGCCAAGGTGCCTGCTGGATTGGATTGTTTACACGTTCCCCACCGGCGGAAAACCGGGATATGAATGCAACGGAATCATACAAAGACTTCGCATATGCACGGGAAGTTGTGCCAGCCGGAGCTGTATATTTATTATTACTGGGAGAATATTCATTGCAGCTGGAGTAGGATTTCATCCAGGAACTGTGCAGCTAAATGCGACAGAGGGCCGGATTATATAAAGAAAAGCTTTGGACTTTAGCTTCGATTTGACTGGGAATACTCGCTGACAGATTGAGCATTCAGTGTTTTTATTTTGTTTAGTCCAAGGACGTGCCTTGCAACAAATCAACACTGCTCTAAAAGTATATCGATCCTCCACTGTTCAGACGAATGTCAGAGAAGGACGCTCTGGGAAATCAGCTCTGGAAAATGTTAAAAGGATACAACTTTCTGCAAATCTAGAACCGGATAGCCCAATGAGTGACACACAGCCCAGCTTCACTGACAGGTATTGTAAACAAAACAAAAAATGACAATGATTATTTTTTTATTCACCTTCACAAATGGAGTCATTTTAAGGGTTTTAACCTGAAACTCAGTCCACGCCTATTCTGCAGATACCACTTAGCAACAACCAATCTGTGTTGATACACTCCATAATAACAGTGTAATTCAATTACTAAAGATGGACAGGAGATCTTCATGGAAGCTTTGCTTAGCTCAGCATGGGTAATAGACTTCTGTGCCCAAAGTACTGCTTGCCCACTGAGGGAGAAAGCCTGCAAATGCTAGGAAACAGTCATCTCTGATCCCTGAACACCTTTCAACATCACTATTACAACTAAGCCTTTAAAGCTAACCCTCTCCTACACCTATTAAAGCAATCTCTGGCTTTAAATTAAACCTTAGCCTCATGAAGTAATCGCTTTATCTTGGCAGCTGTCAGTCTGAAATCAAAGGTTAAACCAGAAGGCTAAATAACATGTTTTTTTGGACCAAATAAAATAGATCAGTCTTATACCATTTCATAATATTCAGGGCAGCAGCAGCTCAGGAGATAGAATGGGTTGTCCAGTAATTGGAAGGTTGCAGGTTCAATCCTGGCTCCCACTAGAGAATGCTGCTTTTGTGTCCTTAGGCAAGACATTTAACCCACCTTGCCCGCTGATGGTGGTCAGAAGGACTGGTGGTGCCAGGGCACGGCTGGCCTCGCCTCTGTCAGTGCGCCCCAGGGTAGCTGTGGCTACATTGTAGCTCATCACCACCAGCGTGTGAATGTGTGTGTGTGAATGGGTGGATGATTGATTGTGTTGTGAAGCACCTTGGGGGAGCTTTAGAACTCTAACCCAGGTTTCACATTTGAAGCATTAGCAGCACGAAACGGCAACGGAATGGTTTGCTCGCCAACTTCAAAGCAGTCCTTTTCCCAATGGGAGAGTCTTGGCAACGGTACGGCTTCCTGGCTGCGCTCTTCGCCGGACTCGCGAGATCACATGATCCCTTGAGACATCAGGTCATGGTTTGTTTATGCAATCTGTGATTAAACCAAAAACAAGAATATCACGTTCAATATCGCTGTTTGATGTCATATATGATGTTGTTCCTCTCCACTGCCAGGATTAAAGCCATGAAAAACACACCGCTGCGTGTCTGGTAAAATACTGGGAGTAAATAAGCTGTTGGGTCACACATAAGCTTCATATATATGAAACTGCATCACTGCGGTACTTTTATTTTGAAAATTACCAGGTATTTTACACTAAAACAGTGTGTGATTTTCTGTCTAGCCCTATGTTAACCGCAGAAATTGACGGCTCGTGGCAAAATATAGAACCCAATCCTATCTTCCAGGCGCTTCTGGGACGCACCTGGAAATTGCCTCATCACTGCTGGTTTGAAACAGTCCATATATAATGGATTCTATTTGAAGCAGTGACGTTCCGCTGACGTTTCGCGTCACTGATGCTTTCAGTGTGAAACTGGAGTAAGAAGGTGCTATCCAAATACAGCCCAGTTACTTTTTACCATTCCTCTTTGCTTTGGTACCATGGGGAATATGGAGGTTGCTTGAAAAAAAAGTTGAGTTGGTGCATTAACATCAAGTCTTCCTGCTCTGAATCTCACATACCTGCAAGTGGAACTTCTGGCTGGCTGGACTGTGTTGGTAGATTTGGAATAGAAGAAGCGTAATGCACAGGTTGGGATGTGAAATATCCTCATGGCTTGAGCTGGGGGCTAAAGCCCAATCAATTACATGACCCCCTTCCCCCACTGCAGTGATGGCAGCAGTTCCTGGCACCACCTGCTATAGTAGTGTTATTTTATTGCATATGTGTGGTTTGTCAAATATGTAGGGCTGCATGGTGGCGCGGTGGTTAGCACTGTTGCCTCGCAGCACGAAGGTTGCAGGTTCGAAACTCGGCTGCGGCCTTTCTGCGTGGAGTTGCGTGTTCTCCCCATGCATGCGTGGGTTTCCTCCGGGTACTCCGGTTTCCCCCACAGATCACAACATGCCCTACAGGTTATAAACTGTACGTCGCTTTGGATAAAAGCGTCTGCTAAATAAATAAACATAAACATAAACATGTGTAACTTGACACTGTCTGATGGCTTCCTAATGGCTCTGATAACAAACCTGTAAAAACAGAATTAGAAATGCAAATACAATTATCAATATTTTTGACAATAAAATTTACAATGGTATTGAAGTTCCTCTTAAGAGTTGCAGCTTATTTTAGAAAATTGCACGGCATATTTAGACATTTTAGAGTTGCTGCAGCCTGAGAAGACTGGAAATTGCTACACAAGTTTCTTTTCCTGTTCACATTCCCTTAAGCTTTTTCGGGTGGATTTTTCTTGTGTTGGGTTTGGTTCTCCAGTAGTCAGGCTTTTTAATCCACAAGCAGTGGAAATTGCAGGCTAGTGTATTCGGTTTAAAAAGAAGTAAAGAACAACTGAACAGTTGAAACAGTTTCTAGGCCCAACATATGCACAACAACTAGAATTGCTCTTGTTTTGAGATTAGCTGAAAAACTGTAGAAATGTATGACTATATTAACTTTTGCATCACCCACTTGTTTGCTTACGTCTTAGAGCATTTTCCAGCCTTTGCTTTCTGGTACTCCACTGTGACATTGTGCAGTCTGCATTTGGAAATGGTTGGCTTTGACAGTGCTATGCATCTCAAATCTATTGGTGTTGGGCCATCAGCCGGTGGATCACTTTTGCTGTTAGCTCTTTGTCATAGAGTTCTGCTGATCTCCACATTTTCCCACCCGGGGCCCTCCTGGGAAATGCTGCTGGTGACATCACTAGTAGTAAACAATGGCTTTCAGTGCAAACAAACTGGCTGTCTGCTGCGTATTCCTTCACTGGGCTGTCAGTGTAGGTCAAGTTTGTTAAGCGAGGCTGAATGGAGTATGCCTTCATTGTTACTGTCTTGGACAAAACTGTGCTTATGTCAGTAATGGCTGTTGTACCTACCATGTGTCAAAAATCAGTTAGCATAGCTTCTAATTAATATTAACAGTTTAGCAATTCATTACGATGTTATTAGTTATAATGGTTGCATAGCGGAGCAGTTGTTAACACTGTTGCCTTGCAGTGAGAAGGTCGCAGGTTCAAATCCCAGCTGTGACCTTTCTGGTGATTTTACCATGCTCTCCTGATGCATTCATGGGTCTTTTCCAGTTGCTCCTACAGGATAGGCTATTTCACTGCTTTGGTATTCCTAAATTTGTAAGTCGTTTTGGTAAAAGCGTCTTCTAAAGAAATAAAAATTTGCATAATTTTACATAATGATATAAATTCAGTCAAAACATCCCCTGGTTTTAGAGCGTCAGGAGGAAAGTAATACAACATACTTGTAAAATTAAAGATAAGTGAAGTAGCAATACTCAATGACAATAATACAGAGTGGGAGTTGGTGTTTGTTTTGCTGCAGTTTGTTTCCTCATGATAAATGTTTTCATGAGTGCCTCTGACAGCTTGGTCTGCTGGTATCTCCTGTGTTTGGCAAACCTCCCTGGTAATGCAGCATCCTTCCATTCCATCAAGTCAGTGCTACTGAAGGAGCTGCGTCAGCTGCTCTGAACCAGCCATTAAAATCAGCGCCCAGAAGTCAGCTAAATCTTTGACCAGAGTGGGAAATGTTCTAGCAAGGTAGGGAAGGTAATACCCACATTCATAGTCTGTAATTTTATGTTTTGTAGAAGGAGCTAGAAAACAGGTTTATGGTTGATAAATAGATTAAATAGGCTATTTTGATGAAAGTAATCAATTATAATTAAAGCAGCAATAGCAAATTTGGAAAACGAATAAGCTAAAAAAATGCTTTCATGCCTCTTAACAACATTCTAATATAAAATAGCTATAAATAGTATTGTGTTGATAAAAAAAAACCCAAATAAAGTAGTTCTCTCGTATTTGTCAAAAAATCTCCGCTAATAACATGTTTCGGACTGAAGCAACTATTGGACAATTCAGTTTTTGGTCTCGCCGAACTGCTGCACAGAACGCAACAGAACACCACTGGTGTGAGAGGTTCTCTGCTCAATAGTATCAGACAATAAGAAAAAGCTGGCTGCCACTTCAACTTTAGGACAAACTACCAGAGTCCCAAAAAGAAAAACACCATTTAAAGTCACAGAAAACAGAAGACGTTTGGATGTACAGTCTATGGTTTGGACGTAGAAACAGCAAATGGTGTTTAGCACTATTTCGTTTCCTCCTGCATTGTGTTTCCGGTTCCAGTAGAAGCATCTCAGGGAAGATACCCAAGAGGAGGAGTGAGTGTTCCGTGACCATGTTTGCATTCAAAACCTAGCTTGTTTGCAGATTTGCCATAACAGCTTCAACAATAAAAAAATATAATAACAAAGTAGCAAAAGTTTAAAAATCCTTTTGCACACAAAAGAAAAAACTTCAAATATCAGACAGAACTGAACAGAACAGAGCCCGATTTAACATTATTTTTATAGAAAAAATAACAAAAAGCATTTTTGGGATGAATTATGTAGCATTTATTAATATAAACGAAAAGTAATTTCTCCTTTATGTTTCTGTGACGTACTGTGCATAATAACAAGCTGAATCAGTTGCTTCTGTAGGGCCTTTTAATGCAAACTTTCTGTTTAGACTGAAGACTACAGTGATTGTAGCATCCATCCATCCATCCATTTTCATCCGCTTATCTGGAGTCGGGTCGCAGTGGCAGTAGCTTAAGTCGAGAGGCCCAGACTTCCCTCTACCCAGCCACTTGGTCCAGCTCTTCCTGGGGAATCCCAAGTAGCACCCATATAAACAATAAATCTGCAATAATTGGGTATTAATCCATTAATTTTAAATTCAGTTAGAATGACAGAACACTCATAACTATGTCAGCCAAACATCTCACTATGCATTAATGACCTTTACAGTCTTTCACAAGTATGATTCTACCCTGACTTGTGAATAAAGTTTAAATGAGCTGTCTGACCTTTTGTCAACATGTCCAACAGCTCCCATCTA